TCTTATGTCCATTGGTTATGACTTCTTACCTTCTTATATACTCATCCATTTGTTTATTGTCTATCTCCCCTCATTAGCATGTGAGCTCTGTGAGGTTAGGGAATTTTGTCTGTCTTCCTGTTTCATGTCCATCACCTGGAAACATGCCTGGTACATAGTATGTGCTCAATAAATATCTGTGGAATGAATGAATGAATGTAAAGCTCTTAGAAATGTTTGATAGCCCACTGGCAGCCAGGACCATGCATGAGGAAGGCACTGGAATAGGGTGGGAGGGCAGCCCTGCAGTAGCTGAGCCCATGTAAGGAGGGCATTTAAGTTAGGGGAAGCCCAGTTGTTTTTAGAGATTAGCTACATACTGGGGATTTGAAAAAATTATGAAATATATTGAAGACAATTGTGGCAAGGGGGTAAAATATGTAAAGGAGGAAAGCTGGGATGAACCCGTGTTGTTGGATTAGAATTTAAGCTCTAAATGTAAACTTTCTTCCATATATGTAAATTGTATTAGTTAGGGTTCTCCAGAGAACCAGAACCAATAGAATATATACAGAGAAAGAGATTTATTATGTGGAATTGACTCACGGATTACGGAGGCTGAGAAGTCCCACAGCCTGCCATCTGCAAGCTGGAGACTTGGGAAGCTGGTGGTACAGTCTGAGTACAAAGGCCTGAGAACCAGGAACACCGATGATGTAAGGACCAGTTCCAGGGCAGGAGAAGACCTGTATCCCCCCCTCAAGCGGTCAGGAAGAGGGAGAGAATTCAACCCTCCTCTGCTTTTTCTCCCTATTCAGTCCATCAGCGGATTGGATCATGCCCACCCATATTGGGAAGGACCATCTGCTTTACTCAGTCCACCAATTCAAAAACTACTCTCTTCCAGAAACACACTCAGAAATAATGTTTAACCAGTCAAGTTGACACATAAAATTAACCATTGCATAGATAAGAAAATAAACGTAGTTGTGTGTGTTTGTGGGTATAAATGTGTGGCTACTGAGTGGGCTGGGAGCAGAGATTACCCTAATTGCAACAAGCACACCTAATAACCAGGTCTTGGTTTTTAAATACTATTTGCCATGAACACACACACACACACACACACACACACACACACACACACACACACACACACACACACACTCACACAGGTCCTCTTGTAGAAATGGCTGATTCTAAGGCTGGGGAAGGGTGAAACGAGATGAGCCTGGACTATCTTGCTGAGCCAGAAAGAAAGGCAGTGTTCAAAGGATGATGTCACATATCAAAACGGCAAGAGGCCAGCAAGGGGCACCTATTGACGAAACCTAAACCTGGTACAACTTGAGCATTGAAATAAGCAATAGGAATGGGTTATAATGCATTGAATAAGATAGGAAACCAGTAGTCCATTTGATATAAATAAATGGATAAATAAATGGGGGTGAAGAGACAGTTCTTTGCAATAGAATGCCAACAAATAAGTGCAGAAGAAATGGTGAAGTTAGAAAATCATCATTTGCAATGGATGCTGAAACCTATGGGTGAAAATGGGATGAAGAAAGGGAAGTTTCAACATCTCAAAGTAACTCCCTTCCCCAACACTTACCAATCACGATCAAGTGGTCAACATTCACACCCCCAGTCCTGGTTCCGAATGATATTGGACACGAGAACACAGCATCATTTCTGTGATTTATCCTCACAAAATGTGTAACAGTGGTCCAATCATGAGGAAGGATTGGACAAACGCAGGGCGAAGGACAGTTTAAAATAACTTCTCTGTAATCTTCAAATGTGTCAAGGCCATGAAACTCAAAGGCTGCTAATTGTTCTAGAGAATCTAGAATCTAGAGTGAGGGAGACTGGAGAGATATGACAACCGGTAAATGCTTGATACCATATTAGATTTTTTTTTAATCCTAAAAGAATTATTTTTTTGGACATCAAAGACTAGTTTGGACATCAAAGACTAGTTTGGAATTGTTTCCAAATAAAAAGTTAAAATGAAAAAAAAAACCCCACAAACCTGGCAAAAGTGTTAGCCCTGCCCTAACCAGTTTGGCTCAGTGGATAGAGCGTCGGCCTGCGGACTCAGGGGTCCCAGGTTTGATTCCGGTCAAGGGCATGTACCTTGGTTGCAAGCACATACCCAGTGGGGAGTGTGCAGGAGGCAGCTGATCGATGTTTCTCTCTCATCAATGTTTCTAACTCTCTATCCCTCTCTCTTCCTCTGTAAAAAATCAATAAAATACATTTTTAAAAAAAGTGTTAGCCCTTTGCCTGGCTGACTCCTGCCGGCCTGTGGACAAGCTCCTGTGGGACCTCCTTTGACTAACGGGATGAGGGGCCCTTGTGCTCCCACTGCCCCCTGGACCTCCAACACCCTTTTGTGATTATATCTATGCTTTGCCTTTACTAGCCCTGGAGACCCCTGTCTGGATCATGGAACAGAGCAGCCTCTTGAAACACCCTGAATCTCAACAAAAGGGGTGTTGCATCAGGGAGTACAGCTCAACCCACCTCTTTGCCTGGGCTTCAACCTAATAAATTGTCAAGTCTGGCTGTTGGAAGGGCACCTGACTGAATGGGACCTACCAACAACCAGGAGTGATGTCTGCAAGGGGTTTCTGGGGGGTCTTATAGGAACTATTTTGTCCCTTTTTAATAAATTTTTGGTTAACACTGGTTAACAAAAGTCTCAGGTTTGAGGTGCACAATTCCACAACGCATCTGTACACTGTATTGCATTCACCACCCCAAGTCAAGTCTGCGTCCATCACCATGTATCCCCACTACACCCTCCTCCACTGCCCCCCACCCCCTTAGGGTTGAGCTGCGGACCTAATCCTCAAGCTGCAACCTTGCTGAAGAGGCTTCTCAATGGGGAAAATTCCCTTTCCACCTCTGATGTCACTGATATGCTCCATAATCACACTGAGAGAGGAGTGGGACACCGAGACCCCCTTCAGAGCCCAGCAGACCCATCCATGCTCAAGGAGCAGAATGGTGGAAATACTGGAGGAATAAAGAGCAATATTGCTAGGGAAGATGGACATTCAAGATGTTAGGAGCCCTAGTTGGTATATGTGCTGCCGAAGCGAGCACTAGGAGCCCTAGTTGGTTTGGCTCAGTGGATAGAGCGTCGACCCGTGGACTGAAAGGTCTGGGTTTGATTCTGGTCAAGGACACATGCCCAGGTTGTGGGCTCTATCCCCAGTAGGGGGTGTGCAGGAGGCAGTTGATCGATGATTCTCTCTCATCATGGATGTTTCTATCTCTCCCTCTCCCTTCCTCTCTGAAATCAATAAAAACATATTTTAAAAAAAGATGTTAGGAACTCTAGCTGGCTTGGCTCAGTGGTTAGAGTATCGGCCCCTGGACTGAAGAGTTCGATTCCCAGTCAAGGTCCCCCCCATTGCAGGTTCCCCAGTGGGTGTGAGAGGCAACCAATCAATGTGTCTCTCTCACATCCATGCTCTTGCTCTCCCTTCCACTCTCCTCCACCCCTTCCACTCTTTCTAGAAATCAATGGAAAAATATCCTTGGGTGAGGATTAAAAAAAAAAAGATGTTAGGAGGAATGTGCCAGGAATGGTTAAACTTTTTTCTTGTTTTCTCCTGAGGTGAGGTTATAGTTATAAGTGTGGAAATGCCATTCAAGGTACCAAGATGCCAATCCTTCAAGTTGGGGGCTGGGCACCTGTTTCTCAGCGTTGGAGCAGCCCTGGCTCTGTTCCTTCTTTCTCATTTCCTGATGTGGGGAGAGCACCCCCCTTGGGTAAGGAATGCAGAGAGGCTCTGGGCCTGGCTGGAGGGTTCCAGGATCTAGGAGAGGAGGCAGGGACCCGCCTGCCTGCCTAAGGCGGGGCTTAACAGGGAGTGCCTTGCCAGGAAGGGAGGGCAAAGGGCTATGTCCTCCACCTGCCCCACCCGGCTGACAAGAGTTCCTGTCACAAGCCACCCTCTCTGTCTGGGGCCCCTGAGGGGTAAGTATCCTCCAACCCACCTTCTCTCTTTCCTTGGGGTCAGGTGAGAACTCCTTTCCTCCTTGGGGGTCCAAACACCGTGCCCTCTCTGCTTACGCTTCGGCCAGGCATGGACCACACCTGCTACCCCTCACCATGGCATAAGTGCCCCTGCTTTACATTCACAAGTCCATGAGACCGGGACACTAAGGGGCAGATACAGAGTGTTTCAGACCCTTCCCTTCCTGATATCAGCACAGGGCCAAGGCCAGGGCGGAAGGGCCCAGAGAGGGGTACCTCGTCCAGGCAAGTCCACAATCACGGTTCCCTCCTCTCCCTCCCTGCAACAGAGCCCAGAATCCTAAGCGGCTGGAGCACTGGGGGACACCCAGACAGAGCCCTCGCTGGACCAAGTCCTCCAGGAGCGGGATGAAGCCATTGCCAAGTGAGAGGCAGCTGCTTGGGGGAGTTGCGGGGGCAGTGCTGGCTCACCCTCAGGACTCTGTCCTGCTGGGAGAGGCGAGGGGGAGTCAGGCATTCCTGGAAGAAACGCCACACAAGCAACTTTCTGTCACAGGGCAGGGGGCTGTGGCCATATGTGCCCGCCCCCCCCCCCCCCCCCGGGCCCAGCATCAGATCTGTAAGTCCTCGGCCTCAGGCTGTTCTTTCTGCCACCGGCAGGAAACGGGCTGTGGAGGCTGAGCTGGACACATGCAAAGCCAAGTTACGAGCGGCAGAGGCCCAGCTGCTGGAGGTCCTGGAGGAGAAACTGAGGCTGAGGCAGGAGGTGGAGGCCTGGGAGGTAGGGCGGACATGCCAGCTGGGCCTGGGAGGTACAGGGAGACAGGCCCGGGTCTGCCTGCGAACCTTCTCTCCTGCCCCCAGGAGGACATGCAGCGGCTGGTGAAGCAGCTGGTCGAGAGTCAGCTGCAGAGAGAGTCCAGCAGCACTTTGAGAGCCCCCATGCAACCCGGAACTGCCAGGACCCCATGGGTTCAATTCCCCCAGCGTTGGTGGGGGCGTTGGTGGTGAGCGCGCTCAGCCCAGAACCTTGAGAGATCAGTATCTTTATTCATTAAAACTTGAGGTCTGACCACCTTCGCACCTTGTGCCTCCTTAGTGCCCACTTGAGTCCTTCTGTGCAGAAACAGAAGCTGCAGGGCCTTAACACCTGGGGTTTCAAACATGACCCCCCTGGCCAGCAACTCTCAGGCCAGGAAGCCTCGGATGGCAGCCATGAAGTCCTGTGGGCGGTCAGCGTGGATCCAGTGCCCAGCATCAGGCACAGTCTGTATCTGGGCCACAGGGAAGAGCCGCCTAATCTCAGGATGGTGGCTGGGGCTGTCCATCGAAGAGAAGGCCGCCAACAAGGGATGAAAGTGGGGACACGGGAAGAGAAAGCAAAGTGAAGGTGGAGCAGGAAGGGGTGGAGAGCTATATGCCCCGTGGTGTTCCCAAGCTCTCAGGAACTCACTGCCCACACCCAACCCCTCCCCAAGGCAGGCTCCCCAGGCTGGGGCTGGGTAGGTGAGGCATGCCCTGTCCACCTCTCAGCCTGGCTTACGGCACGAATTCAGAGTTTCCACCGAGGAGGAAGAGGGTAGGCCCAGGGTAGGATTCTTGTCGTGGTGGGAAGGCCAAGATCTCGTCCACATGCTGGGCCAAGGCATCCAAGTTCACTCTCCACACAAAACGCCCGTCTACCTCCACCAGGTTGGTGAGCAGGAACTGCCGCACAGCCATGTCCTGTGGGGGGTGCAGACGGGGGGCTCCCTGTGAGGCTCGGGCTGCCACTCGTCTCTCGACAGGTCCCAACCCAAACTATCCAGGACCTTGAGGGTATCACCTGAATAAGAGGGCTGAGCTGTTTATCGGCCAGTTTGCGGGCACTGGAGCGGGACACCTTCTCTGGGATGTCTATGGTTTTCATCGCTGCCATGTAGGCTGGAAAGTCTGAGCTGGATGTAGTGTTCACTGGGCTGATGTCCACGGCAATCAGACGTTCCACCAGCTCTGGCTGTGGGAGAGAACTGGACTGGGGACCAGCCTTGGGCATGCACGGTGGGTTGCAGGCATGGTTCCCCGATCCTGAACTTGGCCATCCCAGGCTCCTTTGAGTCTCAGGTTGCCTGCTGGGCACTCAGGATCTACACTGGATGGGAGGAAGCCCTGAGTAAGGTCGGCTCACCCTCTGTAGTGCCAGCAACATGGCTGTCTTGCCTCCCATGCTGTGGCCAATGAGGACACAGGGCACTAGGCCCAGCTGGGGCAGGAGGTCCTGCAGGTCCTGGCTCATGGCCTCATAGCTCATGTCTGGGCTGTGGGGGCTGTCACCATGGTTCCGAGCATCCACTGTCAGCACCTGGGGAGTGGGATGAGAGGGGAGCAGCACTAGCATCCACACTGGGGGCATGGACAGCCAAAGGCCTGGAAGACCTGCAGGCCGAGAGGGTGGAGAACCTGGAGAGAGATCCTGAAGCAGAAGAAGGACTCAGATGGTGAGACGGCCCAGTTCCCAGACCTAGGAGGCCCAGGGTGAAGAGCCTGGGGTCACTGACACAAAAGAGAGGCCCAAGTTGTGTGACCACTTCTCTGAAAGTCTGGCCTGGCTGGGTAGCAACTCCAGAGAAAGAAGACGCCAAGAATTTCCAACAGTTGAAGCACAGAAGGATGGACTGCTCTGAGAGGTGAGAAGTCCCCTGTCATCCCTGGTGAACAAGCACGGGGCTGGCCCCGTAGCGGGAAGGGTGTCTGCATTTAGGCATTGGGCAGTGGAGCCCAGCTCAGTCTGCAGCCTGCAGATGAAGTGGAAGCACGAGGGAATGGATGGGCCTGGGTCTGCCCTGCAGGCTGCATCTTTCCTTTCATATTCGCTCAGAGAGACCTGTCACTCACTGCTCAGCCCGGTCCCAGCGGTGAGGGTAGAGGAGCTGGCCCCGCCTCAGCCTCATCCCGGATCCCCGCCCCCCACCCTACCTCCCTCGGGACTCCGCCTCCCCCGGAAGCTCACCCTCCGGCCTGTCTGCCGAGCCAGGGCCTTGGCGATAGAGTTGAAGTTGGTTTTGCAGCCGAAGAGCCCATGCAGAAAGACGAGGGCCGGGAGGGCCGCCTCCCCATCCAGAAGCGTGTAGGAAAGCGGCACGGATCTCCTGGACGGGGCAAGGATGGGGGCTGATCTGAGCCGACTGGGGAAGAGGTTTGGGAGAGCGGCATGGGAGGAGGCGGGGCCAAGCGGAGGAGGTGGGGCCGTCGGGTCCGCACCGGAGGAGCAGGGTTCAGGGACGGCCTCCCACCGGGTGCCCTTGACTGACCTCGGCTCAGCGCCGCGGTGGCCGCTGCTGCTGGGTGCGACAGGCACCCTGGAGAAGCAGACTCTGGAGAGTTCGAGGCCCCCATACGGGAGCCTCCAGGCGCGGGCCCAGCTGAGCATGCCCGGGAGCCGCTCCCCCGCACGCACTCGCGAGTACGTTCTGTGCCCGAGCCCCGCCTCCCGCCTCTGCTGAGCCCCGCCCAGTTCCCCGCCGCAGCCCCGCCTCCCGCCTCTGCTGAGCCCCGCCCAGTTCCCCGCCGCAGCCCCGCCTCCCGCCTCTGCTGAGCCCCGCCCAGTTCCCCGCCGCAGCCCCGCCTCCCGCCTCTGCTGAGCCCCGCCCAGTTCCCCGCCGCAGCCCCGCCTCCCGCCTCTGCTGAGCCCCGCCCAGTTCCCCGCCGCAGCCCCGCCTCCCGCCTCTGCTGAGCCCCGCCCAGTTCCCCGCCGCAGCCCCGCCTCCCGCCTCTGCTGAGCCCCGCCCAGTTCCCGCCGCAGCCCCGCCTCCTCCCCGACTGCTCTCGCGGAATTCACCGCCTTCGCTCACAGTTCCCGACCGAATCCTGGAGAGCTGTCAATTCCCCCAGCGCCGCCCCTCTGGCGGGAGCACCGCCCCTGGCCTCACCCCGGGCCAGCGGTTCTCAACCTGGGGGTTGCGACCCCTTTGGCAGTCGAACGACCTTTTCACAGGGGTCGCCTAAATACATCCTGCATATCAGATATTTACATTATGATTCATAACAGTAGCAACATTACAGTTACGAAGTAGCAGTGAAAATAATTTTGTGGTTGGGAGTCACCACAACATGAGGAACTGTATTAAAGGGTCGCGGCATTAGGAAGGTTGAGAACCAGGCCTAGGCAGAGCCACCAAGGGTCTGGCCGGGCTCGTGAAGCTCCGCTCAGCACGTGCAGAATCCTTGCGGGGAGTCTGGGCCCTGCGGTCTGGGAATCCGGTCCCAGCTGCTCTGGATGTCCTGGGTTTTGATGCCACAGGACAGGCTCTTGGCTGGCCTAGGAGACCCTGCCTGGTCCGCGCTCGGAGCCGCACCTGTCTGCTCTTCTGCCTTCACTCACTGTCTTGGGTGGGTGCCACACTTTATGTGCCGCCCCGGGGGGGGGGGGGCGCGGGAGAGAGACCTAGGGGGGCTCCCAACGTCAGAGTGGCTGCTTGGAGACACAGTGCTCCAGAGGTGGGGAGGGGGGCGCCAGACGGGCTGGAAGGAGTACCTCTTACCCATCCTGAAATCGTGGACTAGAGAAAGAGCTAGGAGGGACTCTACAGGTTATCTTCAACCACCCCCACCCCGTTCTTTACAAATGGGGAAACTGAGGCAAACCGGAAGCTCTGGTCTGCCATTCATAATACGAGTCAAAATGGGTGCCCACGGTCAAACCCTGGCCAGATGTTTGCACTGGTGGGGGCATCTGAGTTGAAATGGCCCAGATCTTCTCCCTACCCCCTCCTCCCTCCTTTACAATCTTTCCACCTCTAGATCTCAGCACATCTTGCAGAGGAATCGCCTTCCTTTGGAACGCTGCCCCACTGCCATCTTTTCTCCCTAGTCTGGGGTAGAGGTGGCATTGGTGATATTATCTCAGGTCTCAGTTGGCTTCCACTGCAGTCCACCTTCAGCAGTTGCGAGAATGGCTACTCTTTCTTTTTAAAAATTTTTATTTATTGACTTTAGAGACAGAGAGAGAAGAAACATTGATTTGTTGTTCTACTTGTTTATGCATTCATTGGTTGATTCTTTTTACAAAAATATTTTTTATTGATTTCAGAGAGGAGAGAGGGAGACATAGAAACATCAATGACGAGAGAGAACCATCGACCAGCCGCCTCCTGCATATGCCCCACAGTGGGGATTGAGCCCCCAACCCGGGCATGTGCCCTGCCCGAGAATCGAACCGTGATCTCCTGGTTTATAGGTTGACATCCAACCATTGGTTGATTCTTGTATGTGCCCTGACTGGAGATAGAACCTGAAATCTTGGTGTATCAGGACAGTGCTCCAACCAACTGAGCTACCTCACCAGGGGGAGTGGCTGCTCCTTCTGTAGCATTCTTTTGCTCAGAAACCTTCAGGGACTCCCCATAGTTGAAAGTTGAAACTTCAATCACCACATCCCAAACCTCCCCCAGTACGATCCCACCTACGTTTCCACCCATGCTCCCCTTTCTCTGACTCCCCCAGGAAGCACCCTGAGAACTACACTGCACACCTCCCTTTAGATCTTTACCGCAATGACCCACTCCCCTGCTGGGATGCTATGCCTGCCTTCCAGATAGCCAGGTGTCAGATTCCAGGATAACTGCCACCTCCTCCTCAAGCCTTCCCAGATTTCCCTGGTTGAAACTAATTTCGTCCACCCCATGTTCTTTTTTTTTTTTTTTAATAAAAGTAGAAACTTTTAATTTAAAAAATGGTTTCGTATAATAAAGATGAAGGACTATCATGACTCTTAAATATTGGAATTTGCTTACTTCTCTTCTCTGCTTCCAGACATTAGCCAAAGCTGATCTTTGCATACCCACACGTGGAATTTCAATCTGGACAATCTTGTCACTAAAATCCTCGTCTTTAAATTTTAGACAAAGAAGAGACCTCAGATATCCTCGAAGCCAACCGATTGTGAAGTTGATTGCTAACAAAATAAAGTTCTCAGCAAGCTTTGAGTTTGATCCAGATGGTAGTAAAATTCACATTGGACTTCAAGATTGCTTTTCAGTATAAGCTAAATACCATGTTCTAAAGCAGGGATGGGCAAACTTTTTGACTCGAGGGCCACAATGGGTTCTTAAACTGGACCGGAGGGCCGGAACAAAAGCATGGATGGAGTGTTTGTGTGAACTAATATAAATTCAAAGTAAACATCATTACATAAAAGGGTACGGTCTTTTTTTTTTTTTTAGTTTTATTCATTTCAAACGGGCCGAATCCGGCCCGAGGGCCGTAGTTTGCCCACGGCTGTTCCACAGCATGTGTCAGAGCCTACTATACAGTATTATAGGACGGCCCTTCTCTGTGTCCACCATAGGCTGGGGGCTCCCAGAGGCCCAGGGCCATGTTTTGTTCATCTGGTGCTAAGTGCAATAGTGATTTTACTGAATGATCTTGGAGAGATTCAGGGCAGTAGCTGAGGCTTAGGTGAAGGTTCAGCTGGTGGCTGGATCTGTGCCCCTTCCAGGAGATGACACCTGGGCTTGCAAGGGTTACACGGGCCTTTCTCCCCCTTTAGGGTATGCTGGATGGAATCGGGACCAGTAGGAGGCGTTCTAACTGCTCTAAGGCCGCTTAAATAAATGGCTCCCACTTTGAGTCAGCCTGAGGACTGGCAGGTGTTTTGTTCTAATCTGAGGAGGGCTTTGAAGTCACTGGTGACTGTACACACACCAGGTGGTGTAATCATTTGTTACCAGCATAGTCATTAGGGGAGTGATGGGGACATCTGAGCCCAGGTGAGCCCTGGACGGGGACTGGTCCAAGGTCTGGGAGGGGTCCTCAGAGAGTGGATCAAGCAGTGTTTTCCTAGAGTTGGTGGAAGAAGGGGAAGGGAGTTGACATAACATTGGTGATTCAGAAAGGTAGTATTAGAACCGACCCCCACCCTCATGCCAACCTGTCGAGCCAGGTAAACTGAGCCTGGCCCAGGAACCTGACATCAGCCCCCAGCCAGAGCTCTGGGTCTAAGGGCAGAAACAACCTTGAGACACCCTGCCAGCCCTGTCATGTGGCTAGTTAGGGTGAAATCAGCAAGCAGAAAAACCAGTTGGCTTGAAGTTTTCTCCTGCTGCTACCTGGGAAGAACTCTGGTGATAGTGTGTTGGGGGAGAAGGGCCCACTTGGGGGCTGCCCACCCCACCCCAGCTTGTTAGGAACAGGCCGCTGGGCTCACAGTTGGGGAGAGCCTCCCTGGGGGGAGGACAGGGGGGTTAAGGTGCTGGAGGGGAGGCCTCTGAGCCCTGATATGCTGAGGTGATGGGGGAGAACCGGGTTGCAGAATAACTCACTGCCTCTGAGGAGGTTGAGTCTACACTTCGGCAGCCCTGTTCCCAGTAGTTCCAACCTTCCTTGTAAAGTGAAAACGGGGAGGCGGAGGTGAAGTAACCCAGCTCCAGTCACTCAGCCCAGCCCTAATTCCTCCCCAGGCTGAGTGACGGGGGCCCAAGGGGTGCGGCCCGCGGAGGCTGGGACTCTGCACCCTGGAGGTGGCGGCGTCGAATGGGTTAAAGCGGGGAGGTGGCGGGTGTCCTATAACCGCACCTGGACCGGTATCGGTCACGTGGCCAGGGTTTCACCTGCCCCGCTGAGCAGGGACAATCAGGCCGCTTGTTCCGGGGTTGGTCGCCATGGTGACAGGAGTGCGCCCGGGGAGGTCACCAGGGCAAATTCCTGCGGCCCGGCAGGGTGGGGCAGCGGTGTCAGTCTTGCTGGGGCGGGTTGGGGCTCCCAAGGACCCTGGGAGGTTTCCTGTGGAGCTGCCCCCAGGGGCCCCTATGTGACTCCCACCCAGCCTCCTCCCATCTCATCCCTCCCCTCACCATCCCAGTTCGGCTGCTGTTCCCAGATTTTGCACCTGAGTTTATTCAACTGCCAGGACTTTCATATACATTACCTCATTTAATCTGCCTGTCCCACGTGGGAGTGGTAATCCCCTGTGTCCCCGCCAGATTCCCTGAGTACGCGGAGAACATTCGCTGCTGCTTTTCTTTCTTCAACCATCAATCAACACTTTTGGAACCTCTCCACTACACGCCTTTCTGCACACAGGCACCTTTCTAGACACAACCATGCAACAAACAACAAACTCATGAACCACACAACGGTGGATTCTGCAGAGTGTTTATTTCTTCAGAGCAGGTTGGAGAAGCCCCTGGGGACCATTGTTTGAAGGCAGGGACTGCCCAGGGTCATCCCATATCTCTGGTGTCAACACCTCTGGGGGCCTCTCTGCCACCTCCAGTCCCTACTCATACCTCCTCCCCTCCAAGCTTCCCCCCCAGGCCCAGAGATCCTCAATCTCTTACTTTCATCCACTCATTTTACCCCCAGTAACAGTCTCATCACCCCTATAAATTCTTGAAGTGGGTGGGGTGAGGACACCTACCCTTTGGAGTGGAGGTGGTAGAGGGAATCCTTGTATTTCTTTCTCTCAAACCCCACCCCAGAACTGTCTGCCTGCTCCCCAGT